TACCCCTAGCTATGAGTAAATAACAGGTGGCAACCGGTCTAAGAGAAGGACAACTCTGAATTCAAAACTCGAGGAGGGTCGTTTGGGTACCTCATGTCAAACTGTGTACCATTTCTCTGCGTTTTGCTCTTCCAAAAAGTGTAGCTGTTTCTGCACAAGCCTTCACCACTATAAGAAATTATAGGGGCGGATAGTCTATCTGCACGGTACCCTCATACGTCAAAAACGGCAGCTGTGTCGAGGATATACATACATATACATACATATACATATATATATATATATATATATAGAGATAGATAGATAGATAGATAGAATTGTGTATTTGGGGAGCAATCACTCTTTTATACATTTCATTAAAAAAGACTTATAAAGTCCTTCGGTTAAGATTTTATGTAATTTTTCATGTGTTATAATTTTCTTAAAGTAAAAATGAATCCTTGATAATGACTTAAAGTTTAGCCGAAATAGCTCAGACATACAAAATATTTAGAGAACTACTTAATTTACGTTTAGAAAAGAAGAAAATTATAAGAACACAAGAAAAATTAAATAAAAAAAACTTAATGGGTTTTAAGTCGTTTTTTTAAATGTAAGTTAGTATATATATATATATATATATATATATATATATATATATATATATATATATATATATATATATAAGTTTGTAATAGCTGATTGATTATAAGTTATTTTAATGTCTGTAAGTTGAACTTTTTATCTCTAAGACGCCAGTTGTGTTTGTGAAGACAATATGGTGCTGAATATTAATTATTAATGCTAACCTTATTTTAAGGTCTCTGCACGTATTGATCTTTAATACAGTCATTATTACCTGCTTATTTAATACTGAATAAATTGAATCGCAGTCAGAGCATTACAATTTTATTTTCAACTAAGTTAAATATTTAAATACCTACACTGAGAGTGTATATATATATATATATATATATATATATATATATATGTATATATATATATATATATATATATATATATATATATATATATATATATATATATATATATATATTGGAATCAAAAAGAAGGTTTGAAAATGAAACAGTACGAGGGATTTTAATTTAATTCTATAATTAAATTTAAAGTTTCTGTTTTTGAAATATGGTAATTCCTGTGCAGCGATGGGATCATATTTTTAAATTAGTAAATTTGTAGTGTTCATGCTCTGCATAACTGTATTGAGCAATGTTTTTTTAAAAATAAATTAATTAATAAGAACACCGGATTATAAATCTTAGTGTTCTTTTTCATTATTTATATATATATATATATATATATATATATATATATATATATATATATATATATATATATATATATACAAAACTTTAATTCATGTATAATTTACGAACAAATTTGGTCGGTGATTATGAGTAACGTTAGGCAGGCAATTTGATGATAAATATAAAGAGAATAATAAAAAGATTGACTTAAACGGAGGGAGAGAAAGTGAGATAAAGACAGAAAGATAAGAATGATAAATACAAACTGACTCAAGTAGCCATACATTGAATGAGATAGATAGATAGATAGATAGATAGATAGATAGATAGATAGATAGATAGATAGATAGATATGAACTGACTGAGATAGAATGATTGAAAGAAAGAAAGAAAGAAAGAAAGAAAGAAAGAAAGAAAGAAAGAATCAGAACAAAGCAATTTGTAAGTGAAAGAAGAAATTCTTGGGAATTAAGCGTTATGTCTTTATGTACAAGACATTTTTACAGACATCATGAGACATTCCTTGGGTGAAGACATTTGTACAGAAAATATTTTCTGTGGAACCAAAAAAGCATTCATCACCAAAAGGAATTCTCTCATAGCGAGAAAATTTCTTTAGAATCCCGCCCAGAATTTTGTCCGTAACGACTAACGAATCCACTCCCAGCTTTTGGTGAATGTAGTGCATGCTTGCCTCATGTTCCCATTCCTAAACATTAAGCTAGAGTTGAAATCATTGAACCATTAAATATTTACATCTTCTTCACCATGTTGACTTAAAAAAAAAAAAAAAATGAAACGATCAGAATTTATGTATTTGGTATTTTTATCACTACAAATTGTCGAATGATGAAAGCATTTGTTTCTGGGGACAAAGATTGTACGATTTAGTTCACGCTCGAATAATAAAAATCTTGATTTGTAACAAACCTAGAATATTCGGTCCATCTATCAGATAGTATCAAAAACGCGTTTACGCTCGCACACGTACACACGCACGCACATATTTATATACGGCGGAAGGTAAAAGCAACACATAAAGAAAATGATGGTGAGTAAGTTTAAATGGCAAAGATTCAAATGTTTACATAAAATTAATGTATCGAAATGAAAACAATAATTTCGAATAAATTGATAGGAAGGCATTTACTAAATGATTTTCGATCAATTTATTTAAACAAAATATTTTTTTAATTCATAGAAAAAAACTGTTTATGCAATAACGGCTTCTATTTAAGAGTTTCTTCAAGGCGGTTTCAGGCTTGTGGTCATAGCACGTTGAAACACGAGTTCTTGTCTGATCTACCGAAGTTAAGCAACGTCGAACGTGGTCAGAACCTAAACGGGTGACAGCCTGGTGCTATAAGATTGCGTGTTGCTGTAATGAATAACGGCTTAGAGTGAGAAATCAGAGAGCCGATTTCGACGATGTGAGTGTCTAGATACTTTTTCATATATCAGTCCATTTGTGCATTTATAAAATATCCGATGCTCAAAAATTTGAAAAAAAAAGTTGAATTACGAATTTGTTTGAAAATATTTCATTTTAAAGTAAAAGTTAAAATTATTAAGCATAAATAAAATAAACTAATCAGGGTGTTTGCGTGTATAGTTTCAAGACAAAAATATCTTTCTAATTAGATTAGTAAGACTTAATCCATTCAGTTACAAAATTAACAACATTACAAATTATATTGAGAAATTATTTACTATTGTTTTTATAGTTGAGTTCTTGATTTGTTTTTTTTAAGCAAAGATAATTCTATGATAAGTAAGTCGGGTTGGTTATATTCACTTCTGTACAAACACCTCTTTTTCTCCCCAGCTATGGGTTAAATATGTTAATAATGATTTTCTGACTTATGTCAGAAAACCATTATTATCTCCAAAAATTCTTACAATCCAAAAATATCTTTCGGCTTTACGCATAACTCATAAAAAACAAATCAATCGAATTCAATTCGAAAGAAATGACGCCAGTTTTCGAAAGAGAAAAATCCTTAAGAGAGTTTGAATGGAATGGTAAGGTGCAATAAAGTTTCCACCTAGTAACATGAGCATGGGGGTTCAGGTGTTCCAAATATTATTCGTCCAACTGAACGTCTTCTTATACTGGATGCTAACACAAAGGTTCGGCCGATCCATTCATCAGCCCTCGTTAGGTGTCAATATCTATGAAACACTACGGAATACAGTGTTCGCTGCACAGTACGTTGACTGATGGGCTGAGTGGTATTAACACTGAGATGTGATTTGATGCAATGTTCTGTTTCATAAGCTAATGTTGAAATCATTGACCCATTTAATATTGACATCCTCTACACCATGTTTTCGTTAAAAATCGACCATAACTTGTGTATAATTAATAATTATTATGATAATTATAAATATTATAATCTTTATTATAATTAGTTTAATAAACCGCACTTGACTCAGACGAATCGGGTTTCCAACACTTACGGGAAGACGATCGTGTGTGTGTGTGTGTGTGTGTGTGTGTAGGACACCACATGTGGCTAAAGAACTAGGCTGTCAGCAGAATGAATATGCAAACTGAGGAGGACTCTGTAATAGTGTGGAATGTGTTCTTTTCAAGTTTACTAACAAAACTTGAACGCCTTTGCATCCCCTTCAATGCTCGTTGTCTTTCTTTCTTGTCCTAACAAGATATCGCAAGATCCTATCGCACGTGGTTGACATGAAACTGTTTCCAGAAATACTTGGCTCACCTGTAAGTACTTTATTGGCCTACGCATTGGCCAGTTTTAAATCCCGTTGAGCGTATATAGGGTATGTTGCGGACTTCATAAATTCTTGCAGGCACACCCAGCAAACACATGTTATGAAGCGTAACCAAGTAATGTCTCCATGACACATCGCGTAGCTATCGGTTTTAAGGCGAAAGGAATAGATAGACATTATGTAACTTTATCTATATTTTGGTCACAGGAACATAAAATTAAAAAAGCTTACATAAGTAATTTCACAATCATTGACGATGCTCAACTTGAATGAAATCTTTTTGGTTATTATTGAGTATTTTGGCATCTTTTTAACATACCTATCATAGAATTATCTCTGCTTATAAAAGAAAAAAACATCAAAAACTCACTATAAAAACAATAGTAAATAATTTCTCAATATAATTTGTAATGTTAATTTTGTAACTGAATAGATTAAGTCTCACTAATACTAATTAAAAAGATATGTTTGTCTTGAAACCATACACACAAACACCCTGATTAATTTATTTCATTTATGCTTAATAATTTTAACTTTTACTTCAAAATGAAATATTTTCAAACAGATTCGTAATTTAATTTAACTTTTATAAAATTCACATTTTTTAACGGTGCTAATTTTTTAACATCGGATATTTTATAAATGTACAAATGGACTGATATATGAAAAATATTTAGATACTCACATCGTTTATATTAAATATTGATATTATGAGTCACCTTCGCAAAATATTAATGCTAAAATGAATGACAAAACTATTTCAGACGACTATTGTCGTCTGAAATAGGGAGGATGAAGTAAGTTCATTGTTAGTTAACCCATGGCATTTACTTTTTACCTTTCATTAATATTGACCTTACGTTCATTCAACTGTCAGCCATCTTGATATCTAGGTCTCTATCATATAGAAATGCAGATCTCGACACGCCCACCCAGAGGCGTTTAGGCTTACTTTGATCTTGTGAACTCTGCAACTTTATACCACGGCCGAATTTAAGCACTGGAACTGTGATGCAATACGACTTGAGTGTTGAGCAAGAGGGAAAAGGAGGCTGCCACCCACCGAGATCTGGCCCGAGCCTGAACAGAAAAGAACGTTACAATAAGCGCTACGTTGTGGCAAGAGGAATTCTACCAATGTTATTCTTTTACGCTTCCTTCCGTTATTCCATTTGTTGTTGTTCTTTTCTTATCTCTTCTTCCATTTCCCAATTTTTAACTCTTTTCTCCAAGCCATATTTTTTATTCCTTCAGGTTTTCTTTCAAGTATTATTCCTTTTCTCTTTCTTTCTTATTACAATATTCCACAATTATTTTTTCAAACTTTTCTTTCACTCTCTCTCTCTCTTTTTTCTTTTACTATTTTGCTCCAAATTACTCTCCCCCTCTCTCTTTAGACCCTTTCTTTCTCTTTTTCCGCAATTTACTTTCTTCGTATTTTCGCTTTTTTTTTTCATTCGTTTATTTTCCCATCCATCTCCCTCATCTCTTATATTCCTGGTTAGTTTCCCTGTTCTTTCCCCTTTTATTATCTTCTAATCTCTCCAGTTACTCTTTACCTCATTATTTCTCTTTTATCAACTTCTCATTTTTCTTTCTACATGTCGTCTTGCTTATTATGTTTTTTTTTTATTAACGTCTTCTATAATCTTCATTTATTTTTTAATTCCGTTTACCTTTCTTGTCATTTTCTCTATATTTATTTTTATTTATTATCTTCGTTAAGATCACCTCTTTTTTCTCCTTCTCTGCTTTTTCAGTTTTTTTCCACCTCGACCTCAAAACTTAATCCTAGTCTTTCCTTCAAAATTCAGTTTTTTTTTCTTTTCATTATTACCTACCTGTTGCTTCTCTCTCTCTCATCTACCATCTATTTTTAATTTGTCGCAAGGTTAATAAATTTCGATGACAGAGATGGACTTCAGCGTTAACAAATAATTTTGTTTTCCCTCCCTCCACCCATCCATCTTACTATACATATATACGTATGTACGCATAGGTGTATGTCTATGAAAATTAGAACAGGATATATTATTGTACACACACACACACACACAAATACATATATACATATATATACACAGACATACACATATAGACCGATGCACATAAACATACATATTGTTTTGCTTTGTCTTTAGTCTTTTACGGGGTTTTTTATATATATTTACAAATAAAGCTCACAAATTTTGATGAAATGTTTCAAACCAACAGGAATCAGTCGATCGGACTTGTTCGTCCAGTTTTGCCTCTAGAAAGACACAGCGACCAGTTTTTGATTTCATTACAATACAAGATTTTAATGTCCATTTTAAATATATGGGCATAAGATAAGTTTATTAGAGAATTAATAGAAATCTGGTTTTCCTCATTCTCGGACGAAGATTAATCCCTTGTTAATAATTTCATTGTTGAATTGCATGTCTGAACTAATGAATCCAAAAGTGCGAGATCGTTTTAGAGCAATAAACTTTTTTTAATTTTATTTTTATGGAATTGCGTGATAGAAGGCAAAAAAAAATGGAATCAACGTACTTGCTCCAAAATACCAAAAGAAATTTATTTCATGCTCGAGGCAAAAACTTATGCAATCTTATAAAACATTCCTGTCATTTATTATCTATTAGGTTTTGCTTTTTCTCATTATTTTCATTCCGTCTTATGCTTATCATTTTTTCTTTCTTTCTGTGTCTGACAAATTTATTTGCTTCCTTTTAATCCATTTTATGAACTTCTTCTTCTTCTTCTTCTTCTTCTTCTTCTTCTTCGTCTTCTTCTTCTTCTTCTTCTTCTTCTTCTTCTTCTTCTTCGATAGTTCAAAAAGCTTACAAAAATGTTTCTTAGATGAAACAAATGAGTAAATGACAGAATGTAACAAAAATCTTACAAGCAACAATTAACCATAAGTAAGAGATGGGATTTATTTTATACATATATAAATGTTGGCTGTTATTCGATTTCGAACAATGCCATAGTTTGATCCATCTTCAAATATTAGCAAAGCGGAAGCGGGTTCTTCGTTCTGCTAGAGTCTTAAATTCTCTTGCTCTGATGTGGTAACGTTGGACGTCTTTAGTAGCAGTTGTTACATTAATATTTTAGCAAACTTTCAAATGTCGTTTTAGTCTACTAACTGGTGCACATTCTTTTTTTTTACACTCTATGCAATTAGAAAGGTTTCATTACGTGTAGTGAATGACTTCTCTGTGTATCATCTTTAATTATTTTTAGGCCTGCCTTGCATTTTGTAAGCAGACCCGACCACATTCATTACACGTTAGAACAGACTCTGCGACAACATTTTCATAGAAATTAACGTGAAGACCCAAACAAACATCTCTCTCTTGAATTTTTCATGCGCACCACGATTCTGTTCAAAGTCTCTCTAACCACTGTGTACTGCTTACATCGAGGTTGAACGATCTCGAGCGAGGTTTTGCTAGTCATTTGCTATGATGTTGACTTACTGCAATCTTTATACCTCAGTTTCGGCGTGTGTATACATACATACATAATAACTGTCCACTCGTATTTGAGGATATCCATTTACTAGGGCGGCTAGCCAATCCCTGTTGCAGACATTTGCTCAGGCACATTTTGTGTTTACTCAACACCCACAGAGGCCACCTGTGGTTTATACTGCAACTATGCTGATCAGACCTTAGTTACAGTTTCTGGGAGAGAGCGTGATCAACATTTTTAAGAAGCCCACGGCCACGATGACTTGTGGCTTCGTGCTAGCACAGCTATCGACGGCCCACAAGAGTTCCGTCTATCCAATTCTACTCACACAGGGTGGGTCAACCCGTGGTTAGAGTTTTCAAGCACCTTTCCAAAGGTGCCGCACGCTGGGAAGAATCTCGATCCAGCCCGATAACATCAGGAAGTCGCCTTCCTGACAAATCGACCATGGTGAGATTCGACCCAGGGTCTCATGGTCAGAAAGTGAACGTTCCACGCGCTCATACCTACCTACCTACCTACCTACCTACCTACATACATACATACATACATACATACATACATACATACATACATACATACAGCTAAATAGTTGTCAATAGGGTGAGATGGATGCTTCAAGTACAAACCCTAAAGGTGGAAGCGGAAAGTAAATTACAATTCAAAATCTTTTCAGATTTTATGCAGCTCAGCTGAAGTGAATTTAGTTGGTGAAATGTTTTATTAACGTCTATTTTTCTGAACAAAATAATTTAATCGTTGAATAAGTGTGGGTGCGTGAATATTTTGGTTAAATTACGAAAGGATATCCGACGAATTACTTTAAATTAAACTGAATATAGTTATATAAGTAATGAACTTTGAGCTTTGTTATATAGAAGAATTGATACTGGTCTTAATTTCTGAGCTACTTCGATTTGCTTTTGCGTTTCTATATGAACCTGTATGCAGATTTGTTATATTTATGTGTAGGGGGGTACTCAGTTGATGACATTGCAAATAATATTATTATAAGTTGTTATAATTACAATGGTCTTTTGTTTGATTTTAGTATAATAATATTTCGTCTAAAAATTTCAGACAGAAAAACATTTTTTGTGTTAATTTTATTAAATTCAAGATGATCAGCTTTCGTGAAATAAACCATGAACATATCTGGAATTTTGCATTTAGCATTTCTTCTCTTTGCTTAGACACTCACATTTGAATCGTTTTGTATGTATGATTTATTTAGATTTGATCTGAGATTTGATTCGTATTATGGAGCAATGCAGGTTCAAGTGCGATCATCTGATCTTCATATTTTCAAAGTATAAGTCGAATGAATTGTTTACTCGAATTGTCACAGGTCACGACAATCACACAATAAGAAGAGAACTATAACTTCAAACACATTTACCATATCTTAAATAAAATGAATTGATAGGAATACAGACTAATAGTATGTTTTTTAAAAACATGATCAAATTTTGTTCGGATTAAAAGATGGATGAACTTTCAGGACTTACTGTATTTGTCGGCGCCAAGGACGCATTTTTTTTTCCTGAAAAATTTGCCGTGGGAAGGTCAAGGTTTTTGTAGGCCTGTGCCAACCCCAGAGGAAGGTTATCTATGCCAGACGGTAAACTGAATTCCTGTATGTTATGCAATTTTTCGAGACTTATTTCAGAAAAAGAATGCTTCCTTGACGCCGACAAATACGGTATTTGATTTGATATTTTCTCGTTTTCTCTTAAACCAAACTCACGTGACATATTTTCTAAAGAATTGACGAATCTCAGTCATAATAGAAATGAAATAACTAAACTAAATAGAATAAAATAGAGTTGATTATGTAATCAACATTTATCAAAAGATGACGTGGTTATATATCGAAGAAGAATTATTTTGATATTATTTAATATACCGGAATCGAGAAGCAAACTAGGAAAGTTTTTTCTTTGCTGATTACACGCTCGGATTAGTGTTATTATCTCGTTAGTTACTTACTAACTTTCGTAGTCGCACTAAGTTCCTAAGAGATTGACCTCACGAGTGCCAATCTACTTTAGCAACCCTTTTATTGACAGGGTCTTGCGAGCTGTCGGACAATACGATGGTGAAGCCTTAAACCTTATATTGCTTTTAGAGTATGTGATTTTTAAACTGTCTATAGTATAATTAAGCAATGCAATTTTTATCGTTACTTTCTTCATAATAAATGAATCAATTTCCAAGCTGGGCCTATCAAAGACGACATTAACGTGCCTAACGTGTACCGATTCTTTCAATTACTTCAACCTCTTGTGTTCTTCCCTATTATTCTGCATCAAAAAGCCAAGTTCAAATTCTAGTCGGGTTCGTTACATTCACTTACGTGCAAATACTCTTAATAAATGTATGAATCTATACCTTCTCCCAGCTATGGGTTAAACAGTTGGACTTGTATCCGGAAAAATCATTGTTATTCTCAAACAATTGTTAATGCACTCGCAAAAAAGTATTATTTTTACAATCCAAAATATGTTTCGTCTTTACATAAGCTACAAAAGGTAAACTAGGAAAGTCGTAAAAAAATCAATCAATTAAAAATATTATTCTGAATTAGTTATACAAGAGCTGTTGAACGTTTCCCTCCACACATGATCAGTCATACTTAATTTCATCGTGTCGCATAGAACTACAACTTTTCGATCTTCCTCCAATCCTTAATTTTAGGAAGTGATTAATTTTACTTTTGTATTTTCTGCCACAACTGCAGGATGCACCAGATAATCGAGAGCAAATTATTATATAAATAAAAACAAAGATATCCCTCTACTGAAGCAAAAAAGTATATTTTCCAGAAAATCTATTGACATGTTCAACTTCAAATGTTCAAAGCAGAAAAAATGAAACGGCTTCGGTGCCGTCTGAGAAAGTGTGACTGCAGGTCCGAAATTAAATGGTTCTCATTCATTTTGACATTAGTACACACACGGTGATGTAAGGCAGAGAGACCGTTTCAACTGCCCTGAATTCTTATATCTCCTCATGTGGAAGATCATGTGATTCTTGTAGGATAGTTACCATTTTGAAGAGTGTTTTCAATACTGATCATCTGTTCCTATGTGTCTGGATTTGCCACATGTGTTGTTCTAGATGGACCATTCTTACACATATTATGGGTAGTAGGAATCGAAACTCAGGTACTACCCAGTTGGGCAACTGAGCTTCATCTTCCTTTTCTCTTATGAATTGTACTGGATCTCTTTCTGAGTTCGCATAGCCCAGAAATGCTTGCAAGTCTTGCTGGATGGGGCCAGTCTATGAAGATACCGTCGATGTATCTCAGCTACATATTTGGCTTTAGTAGTATTCTTAAAGCCATTTCATTAACGTATTCCATGTATATGATTGCCATCAGTGGAGAGAACAATGAACCTATAGCCAAGCAGTC